CTTCTCCCGGAGCTCCTCGGTGAACCAAGGAGGTCTCCGGGATCCGCTGACCCGGAGGGGCCGTAGTGGCGCAGATACCTAACCTTTGATGTCTATAATGATTTTGATATTATGGGAATATCTCGACACGTAGTCAAATGTAAAGCAAAACAGTGGTGGATGTTGTATTGTTTTTTACAAGTTATTGATTGTTGTATTTTTCTTTTACTAATAAAAATAAATAAATAAAAAAAAAATAAGTTCCCTTAAAGTGTTTTATATTCTTGTATTGTAACGAAGGGGGGGGGGGACTAATTTATGTATTTTTCCTCTTTTAACTATTTTTCGTTTTGTTTACTGCCCTATTTTTTCTGTTTCTTTTTTCAGCTGGCATGAGTTCTCATTTTTCCCCCCCACCGAAACATTCAATAACATTACTTTTTCAAAATAAAAAATAATAAAAAAGAGGAACACTCAGCACCTCCCCAGAATTCGGGACAGAACTGGCAGGAAACCACCGACGCCCAGATTTTAAAAAGGTGAGATTCTACGAAAATGTTTGCCGCAGGAAAACGCAGGCGAGCACGATCCGCTATAACGGCTGCCTTGTTTTTAAATATCTTGAGCATTAATGACCAGAATCCTGTGATGGGAACCCACGTGCTTCACAGCCTCAGCCTGGCCCCAGAGAAGCCCCCCCCCCCTTTTTTTTTGCAAAAACACAAAAAGACAAAACACTCGCTAAAATCCCAAATACAGCTTTTTATTTTGTGCAGTGGGGCAGCTGACACCCCTCTTCAAAACAATTGTTTCGTTAAAGCCCAGCCAAGTGCCGTGTGCAAATGCATTATGCGTTGGCCAGTAAAAAAAAAAAGAAACCAGTTTAACCAGTTTGACTCTTGGTCTGTTGCACATGGAGTGTCCACTCATCCTGGGGAAGGGCAGGGGGGGGGGAGAGAAACATCACCCTGGGGTTGTCCAGTTACAAAACCAGGACTCATGTTCACACACAAAACATCGAAGGAAGTCACGGATCCCACGGGGGCTCACAAAACTAGATCCCGAATTCTCCCGTTTGTCTCCCAAATTCTCGCCAAGCAGGACCACCCACCCAGGGCCTGACATAGCAGCCCCTCTGTTTTCACCTGGTCTTCTTGCAGCACAGCCCCAACGCAGACTGATCGCCCAAAAATTTCAGATACCTTGGCATGCACAACGCGCCACGGTCTGGGAGAATGGGCCATTTGCCCTTCGAGTGCCCTTCCAATGCTCGGATCGCATCACCCGGAGGCAGCTGTCACACACACGCAAAAGATTAGCTCTCGTTATTTATTTACACGGCTTTCTACATTGCCTAGCTCCGAGGCTCTGCGCACCAAGGATGCCAGGCGATGCCCGTTTTCCTCCGCAAACACACCACAGGCGACCCTCAAATTACCACCTTCCATTCAATGACTGTTCAAAGGTACAAGGGCATCGAAAGAAACCCAGATTGATTTTTCCACTTATGGCCATTGCAGCGTCCGCATTGCCGTGGAGAAAAAAATTCAGACCCTTGGCAACCGACTCATATTTACGACCGTTGCAGTGTCCCGGGGTCACGTGATTCCCCTTTTGCGACTGGCTTGGCAAGCGAAGTCAACGGGGAAGCCAGATTCACTTAACAACCAGGTGACTGACTTATCAACTTGTGGCAAGGAAGGGTGTGAAACGTGGGGCGAAATCCATTTGACCGCTGTCTCACTTAGTAACGGAAATCTGGGGCTCAAATCATGGTCACAAATCAAGGATTACCTGCCCCATAAACACATCGACTGGAGGAATAGCAAACTCCATTCTACTGAATTTGAAAAATTTGGCTGCTATTCCCCACCAATTCCTATCTTGCTATATCTATATGTTTAAAAGCTGGCCTCAAAACTTGGGCAGAATGGAGCCACGAGGCTGCCAGCTGCTAACCCTTTAGAGCAGTGTTTCTCAACCTTGGCAACTTGAAGATGTCTGGACTTCAACTCCCAGAATTCCCCAGCCAGCATTCGCTGGCTGGGGAATTCTGGGAGTTGA